ATGAACACACCATTAACAAAAAGAAGCCATACAAACTTCCCTGGTACATCTGTGAACTAAAAAAGGTTAAGAACCAACGAAACAAATTTTACAAAAAGCTCGTTAAATCCAAGAATCAAATCTTTTTCGAGATATACCAACTATTATCCAAGAAATTCAATTTCCTTAACAAATTTCTTTATTGAAATAATATCTTCAGGTTAGAATCGAGTATTAAAACCAGCCCTAATATTTTTTGGCACTCCATTAAATCCAACAAGTCCTGTGTTGGTGTTCCGTCTGCAGTCTGCCTCGGGTAAAAATTTGCAACCTCGCCTCAAGAAGTGGCCAACTTATTTGCTGAGGTTTTTAAGTCTAATTTTGCTTGTGAAGATGTTGATAGTTCATTCCCTTCTAGTTATCCCAACAATCAAACAGCTTTAAATTTTGGTCACCTACGTCTTACCTTGGACGACATTACAAAAGGCATAAACAGCATGAAAAACTCAACGCAGACTGATGCCAATGGATTTAGTACAAATTTCATCAAAAAGTGTCCAGCTTTAGCTGCACCTCTTAAGTTTATTTTCAACAAATCTCTGAGTACTGGGATCTTTGTGGTTGATATCAATCACACCGATTTTTAAAAGTGGCAAAAAGCATGATGTAACTAATTACAGGTCAATTTCCAAGCTCTCGACCATCTCCAACTGTTTGAGGGGATTATTAAAGATAAAATGTATTTTGCCGTAAAAAGTTTCATCCTACCGAACCAGCATAGATTTCTTTCTGGACGGTCTACAGTCACTAACCTATATTTAGTGAATACTGCATTGAAGCGCTTTCAGCTTGCCGTCAAGTGGATTGCGTATACACGGATTTTTCTAAGGCCTTCGACAAGGTTTCACACACTTTTTTGTTACATAGCTTCGCTCGGATTTCACTCGGTATTCCCTAAATGGTTATCTTCGTATTTAAGTAATAGGTGTTATATGGTCTCGATTGAGGGCGTGTCCTCTGACCTGTTCATAGCATCCTCAGGCGTGCCCCAAGGTAGTATCTTGGGACCACTACTTCTCGTTCTATTTGTAAATGACATAAGCAGTTGTTCCTCTTCTTCAGAATTCTTGCTCTATGCAGACGACCTGAAAGTTTTTTCGAGTATAAAAAATTCTGAAGATGCAAAGCGCCTCCAAGAAGAGATCAATAATTTATATCATGGTGCTTGGATCGCACCTTTACCTCAATATTAATAAGTGCTTTCAGGTAACATTTTCAAAAATTCGCGACGTGTAACATAGAACTATAGTATCTCCGATACACTTCTTCAGTCTGTAGATGAGGTTAAGAACCTCGGTGTTATCTTTGATTCTTCTTTTTCATTTAACAGTCATATTAGTTACATAATTTCAAAATCGTATGCTACCTTAGGTTTCATTCGGCGAAACAGCTCTAATTTTTCAGATCCTTATACCCTATAACTGCTATGCTCAACCTACGTTCGTCCCCAGCTTGAATACGCTGCATTTGTCTGGCGACCCTATTACAAGTTCTCAATTGACAGAATTGAGCGTATTCAAAAAGTTTTCCTAAAGTTCGCCCTTCGATCTCTAAATTTTTGCGATCCGATCCCTTCCTATCATTCCCGTCTCCTCCTAATTAATCCTAAGTCTTTAGAAATCAGAATGACTACCTTCTCTTTGTGCTTTATTTGGTGTTATAAATGGTGGAATTGATTGCACCTCCTTGCTTCAAGCTATTCACTTTCTTACTCCAACGAGGACGTTACGTTCTTATCAGAAGAAGAAGAAAATCTGAACGATTTATGAATAAATCTAACCAGATTATTGGGTGTCAAGCTCAGCTCTCTCAACACATTGCGGCCAAATATACCATACCTAATTCTTGCAAAGACGGGCAGAAGCACGAAAAGTGTTCCAGCGTATCATGCTCTTCAAGGCAGGATGGACAAATGGAGTTGTCATGTACGCCTATCACAGTAAGGTGTTTGCGTCACGAGGAATGACCAGTCAGCAGTCCAACAAGTTGTCTAAAATCCCGTCTGTTCAGTGAGAGCAAACAACTAGATAGACCTTCTGCGGAAGTATTCTGAGGTATTCACCCAGTTTATGATGGGGGCTTCGACGGCCGAAGTGCTATAACTAGTTGCGGACCGAGGAACACCTGGTCTGAGCCAATTCTGGCCAAATGGTCAGATGTGTCATTACCAGTAACTCCCGAGTGACCTGGCACCCAGAGTAAAACAAGCTCGTTATGTTTGCCAACATAATTTAGTTGAGGCTGGCACTGCCGAACTAGTTTGGAATTAGTTATACGTCTGGCCGATGCCTTAAGTGCAGCTTGGCTGTAACTACAGACACGTAAGCTCCTTCCCCTCCATCTATTTTCCACCACGTTGTTCATGGCCTTGAGTATTGTAAATGTGTAAGTCCGGGCTCAGTGCTGGTATTAAACCAACATTCGGACTCAGGGCTGAATCTATTAAACAGAGGTAATGGTGCCGTACTATCCTGTGGCATTGAAAATACACAAATGCTCAGATCTCTGCCGCCAGAAACTTCCACCTCATCCCACTCAGGGTTATACCAACATCCGTTTCTTTTTAGTTTGCAGGTGGCCTTTAAGGCTTTCCCATGTGCAGCAGTGCACCAAGAGCAGCGCCAGGTGTTGTAGAGAAAGCTCCCGTACTGCACACGGCAATAGTTCTTTGAAGTTTAGCAAGCAGACTTCCCACGCTATTGATTGAGAGTCTGCTCCACCATACCACTGACGCATAGCTGATTATGGGTCTGTTAATAGAGGTATAAGCCCAGAGCTAAGTCAACTGTAATAAAACCATCCGATATTGTCGACGCCATTTGAAGCAAATACTTTGCGTCAGTCGTTAAATCACGCTTCCAATCGTGATGAAGAAGGACGCATATTCCCTAGTGGTACGGCACCAATCACAGCTTTCTCTTTGCTATTCTTGCACAGTTTCTACCTGTGTTTAAGCTTCAAATAAGGTCAATTAATATAGTTATAATGAAATGAAAAAACTTAGTTTCAGTAATATTTAGCACTGTCGCGAATCACAACAAATCTTTAGGCAATTGTTTGCATTTATTATAATATTTAAGTAAATCAAACAAAGTTCTCAGTTATTTATAAATTATTGACGATGATGTTTTTTAAAAATTTAACTCAAATTCCAATATTTTAAATAAAAAAAATAAATGAATCGTATAATTTTTTATCAAACGGCACATACAAGGAACTGAACGATAGGTTTAACTGCTAACCAGTGTTTCTAGGCGCGTAACGTTAAAAAAATCACGGTATACATATTGTGCTTGCCACATAAAAGCAAAACGTTGAAAATTATTGAACTATAACTAAAATTACGCCTGCTTTTTATATAACGACAAATTTCACCATTTCTTTAAGCCTCGATATTTCGAAATTTAAGGACGTAAATTTACTCACAACAATCCTAGAAAATAACACAGTTCGACAAATTTTGACTGCATTTCGTAAGCATGAGTCATCATGGCTAATACCGAAGTACTGCACATTAAAACTGGTATATCTCGGGAAAGAGAAATGGAATAGCAACAAACGAAATTGAATTTTAAAGAAGAAGAATAGTACCAACGGTGCTCTAAGTAGAAATGAGAAAAAAAATTGAAAATGAGTTACGATGCCCTAAGTAGAAATAAACAAAAAAATTGTTGTTCTCATAATATAACCTCAAATATCGCCAAATTGCTGTGAGTAAATTGGGTCCTTAAATTTCGAAATATCGAGGCTTAAAGAAATTCTGAAATTTGCCGTTATATGAAAAGTAGGCGTAATTTTAGTTCGATTTCAATAATTTTCAAAGTTTTGCTTTTATGTGGCAAGCACAAAATGTATACCGTGATTTTTTTATCGTTACGCGCCGAGAAACACTGGTTAGCAGTTAAACGTATCGTTCAGTTCCTTGTATGTGCCCCTTGATCGAACGGTTACCGAGATACACATTTGTGGTCATAAGTGGGCGGTGCCACGCCCGTTTTCCAAAATTTTATCGGTAATTTATTTTTTGACAAAGAGTTATTGCAATGATTTATTTATTTTACTGATTTATGGAAATTTCGTATTATTTTTTAATTACTGTTATATGCGATGTAAGCGAGGTTATTGTCCCAACAACTTTGGGAGAAATTGGTGAAGCGGTAACCAAGAGATACCATTGTAATATTAATTTTGAGTTAACAAGCTTCAGTAGTTACTAAAATATCGAAGTTTTCGTATTTCTGAAAACTACCGTTATATGGGAGGTGGACGTGGTTATTGTCCGGGTTTGCCTATTTTCAGTATACACATACCAAGTTTCGTTAAAATATCTCAATTTTTAATTGAGTTATCTTGTGCACAGACGTTTAATCGATTTATTTTTTAATTCTGATCATTTATGTATTAAAAAAAAAAAAAATGATTTTTGTACCCTGATACTAATAGATTAGCTATTTGTTTAAGCTTTTCCCACAAAATTTTGTATTACCTGATATGAAACTTCCCCTATAAATTCGCTGGCTGGAAATTGGATTTAGACCCGTAGTTTCTTAAACAAACTTGCTCGGAATGGTCCGTAGAGCATTTTCCGCTTATACGATTTTCCGTTTTTCTGGTCCCCTATAAATCGACCCGCTCTAAAGTATCTATGCAGTGCTTGCTTGTTTTATGTGCTTGTTTTATCTGTTGGTGTAATTGATGCAGTGGCGTCAATGTAAAGTAGTCTATGTACGTACGTTTGTACGTATATAAATATACATATTCTCAGTACACAAATATTTTTCTTAAATCTATGTTTGTATGTGTATTCATACGTTAAAAGTGCATGCAACTAAAAGCTCAAACAGTCAACGACGTAACATAGACGTAGGTTGACGTAGACACGATCTACCTTTTGGGATTCGCGTGTTAACGAAAACTCACCACCGCATGGCGGTGATGTTGCCATTGCTTCTCTCTCTCTCTATCAACAGTAAATTTGATATGCTGCTACGTACGTCAACCTACGTTTACGCTACGTCGTTGACTAACTGCGCTTTAAGCACTAAGGACTTTCATGCACTTCCACAAAATTTCGTTTTGAGAACTATGTTCCAGATACGCGAGTTTAGAGGATGTTACATGCGGAACCGTGCATCACTTCGCTGATAAACATTGGTGTGCCCGCACCCAGTCCACCATCCGTTTTCTGATGATCATTCTGTGCGAATACAAAAACGGAAAAAAGTAATGTAAATATTTTGAAGCACAGCCTTATATGAGATATTGCGCGCCAAGCGACGATAGGTATGTATAAATACAGATGACTCAAACTTACATCGTCAAATTCGCAATCGAAATAATGACCCTGACATTCCATGCACCGACACGCGTCTGACATCTTACACGTTATGCCCCACTGCTTCGCTAAATCTTTGTATATTTCCTTTGACGATTTGTTGCTTATTATTTCCGGTGTGATGGACCGTTCCTGGGCCGAATTTTGGTTGCCGTACTCGTAAGATTGTGTCTGCAGTTGTTGTTGATGGCTTTGACTATTTGACATTTGCTGATGTCTGCTCCAACCGTCGTCGCTGTCACTGTTACATCGTTCGCCTTGGTAATCATCTTGCATTTGATTATCACAACTTTCTTGATTGTAATGGTTTTCTATAATTGAAATCTTGTTGAATTTTAATACGAACTAATGTAGTGGTAATGATTGAAGAAAGATCAAAAAGAGCTAGGCCAAATCAACCCATCGCACAGTGGTTCGGCCGGAGGACAAAAGTTTTAAACTTATGCACATTGTCTAACCTCTGATTGATTGACGGGCAATCAGTCAATATTAATGGCACTTCATTACAGTGTAATTTTTTTTTGCGATAAAAAATTGCTTAGATTACTTCCTCACTCTCGAAAATTGATAAAACACATTTTCATTGTGAATCGTAGTTTCAGTGACCCAATACTTCTAACTTTTTATAAAATGGTAAAAATCTCTAGAAACCCCGAAGTAGTCTCGAAAATCCCGAAATATTCCCTAAAATATCGAATATCTCGAAATAGTCTCAAAAATGCCGAATTAGCCCCGAGAACACCGAAATATTTTTGTATGCGGTAGTTAGTGAAGCCAAAGTACTTTGTACTTTTGTACGCGGTGGTGCGTTTGGTGAAACTAACTAAATACTTTTAGACTAAGTATTTAGCGCTGTGAAAATAAGTAATAATTTACTAACCTACTCGGTATTTAGTAACATCCAAAATACTTAAGTAAATAGTACTACAACATAAATGCCTAAATACTTTGCACTTCATTTTTAGTAAAGCAAATTTTGCCCATAACTGGTACCAATAATGCAATCACTTCTATATTGGCAGTAAGCTAACTTCTCAATGTGTAAGCATTCCGAAATCAAAGCGAGACAGTCTAGTACCGTTTTTGTCAATGTATTATGTACTTGAGTGCCGTTTTTGTATATGTGTTGTGTACATGTTTATTTATAAACGTACGTATTCCTTTTCTTTCGTACGTGTTTATTGATATATCTGTACTGTAGTGTTTTCGGACGGTACTAGTTCTTACTCAGTGTTGCCACAGCCGAAAAAAAAATTTAACAAAATCTTTCAAAAAGTTTTACAAATCGCGTTAAAATTAAGCATCTTATTTAACGGGTCTTATAAAACGGAAATTCTTGGAGTTACTGTTTGTTCTTCCTGATAAATTGGTTATAGAAATAAAAAGTAAGCAGGTAAATAAGTAAAGGCTCTCTAAGGCCGAGATTTGTCGTCAAGAATAAGGATTTTATAGTCTAACAGTTACTTAATTTGAAAACTATTACACATTCTTTCAGGCTTTCAACACATACTCCTAACTATACTGCCCTTTCTCTAGTTTTTTGAATGCATGCAAAAAAGGAGTTTGGTGTCATGTTATCCATAATGTGCGTGATCTTGTCACGTAAATGAAGGGACCTATAGTTCTAAGTTGCCACCGAACGGCAAATGGTTTTTATGAGAAGCGATTTCATGGCAGAAGTACACTCGGTGGTTTGAAAGTGCGACGACCGCAGATCGGGAATTGCGTAGAGCAACATTTACTGGAACTTTATATGGGATCTGCATGACAGTGCAATGAATCAAAGAATTTTTGTTTTCATTTTCCTGCTGAACTTTTTTTGTGGTTTGTGGTTCTTGAGGTTATCTAAGATCTACGTTTGTTGCTGTAATTGTCAACACTACAAGTTTTATTGGTTTTCTAGGATCAGACAAGATTATCACTGAAACTCATGGTGTAATAATAAGGTGTTGTCAGTAACTTAACCTCACTTTTTCGGCAGGTCTATTCCGGTCACGCATTTTAAAGTAGTAGAAAAAGTACTAATTATTTACTACTTTTAATCCGTTCGTGCATACTATTTCAAATTAAATGTAGAAAAATGTTTTATTACAGGCTTATAAGCCTGAATATATGTTTGTATCGTAAGCTCCACACAGGTTGCACATATATTGTAACTTTTAAAAAAGTACAGGCCGTAAAATAAGGCAATTTTCTATAAAACTGTAAATGATTTTTTAAATAGATTAGTAATAATAATAATAGATTGGCGCTTACACATATGTTAGTGTTTGGCCGAGCTTCTCCTCGGACTTGCGGCGTGCGCCTTGCTGTTGTCACACAAAGCGGAGCGACCTACAGTTTTACGTCGACTCCGAACGGCGATTGCATTTTCATGAGAAGCTGTTTTTCATGGCAGTAATACACTCGGATGTTTGCCATTGCCTGCCGAGGGACGACCGCTGTTAAGAAAAAACCTTTTTTCTATATTTTTTGCTATGTTTCTTTGACCAGGGCTTGAACCCAGCTGCTGCGGAGTAGAGCGCGCACTGCTTACCACTACGCCACAGCGGCTGACATATAGATTAAAACACATAAATATCCGATAATATAAGCGAAGTCGTAATTTAACCATGCTGCCGCTCTATTCTAGTGTATCAGTAGTCCATTTGGCCCGATATTATGGCAATGCAGCAAAAGATATTTAATATAAAAAAATCGCCTTTCCATTCGATTTTTGTGTACGTCTTTTTTGATTGATAACTACGATATCTTTTATATTTTATATTTTGAGGACAAAAATTATACAAATCCAGCAATTTTAAATATTAATATCGTTCTGAAAACACCAAGTTCTTTAAAAATCACGATAAAATGAAATACTAAAATGGAGTATTTTAAATACAATTTCCCAACTTATAGCATTATAAAAAATTAAGATCGGCAGCACTGAAAATAAGCATGCCGATCTTGTCAAAATTACAACAAACACGTCGCTACTGACAACACCTTGTTATTATTTCACCATGACTGAAACTATGATCGAAAAAATAAAAATCATAAAATAACGATTAAAAATGATCGAAAAAATAAAAATCAAAGAATAACGATTATTTTTGATTGAAAAAATAAAAATCCTAAAATAACAATTAAAAATTATCGAAAAAATAAAAATCCAAGAATAACGATTAATTTTTAATCGAATATTTTTGTTTTATTGGGACATTTGGGTACAATACTTTCACCAACTTCCAGTGACACATTTATCTGCTTTAATTATGGTTTTTTGGTCGTCAGAAGGCATTTCAATTGCCATTTTCGATATATTCTTCTCACTTTTCGATGCAGATCGGGATTTCGCTTTTATTTAAGTTATTAGGGAACTGGTTCCTTTGAGGTCTACCTGCATGAATTCGCGACACAAGCACTCAAAGCTGTTCATTACTGTAAATGGAACCGGTAATAATTTATAGCGCACTCTAACCTAACCTACATAATTGTTTAGAATTGATACAATTTTGAACCGGGGAAACCATTTCAATTTTAATATTACGATCAAAATTAAAGAAATGAAAAAAAAATTGTGTACAAAATCTATGGAAAATCAATTTTCCGGAATTTTCTGTTCAGAAAATTTTTTCAGTTTTCTTTTAGTAGGGACAAACACAGGACAATCTATTCTAGAGCTATGCTCGGTATTACGTAAGCAGCGTAGATCTCTACATACATATATATAGAGATTTAAATTTTTAAATAGTTGACAACCCTCTTCAAAACTATTACTTCTGGTTAAGAGTGCATTTAAATGCCTTTCATTCTCAGAATTTGTTGCAATATTTTATTCGATATATATTTAAGTCACTAAAATTTTAAGCGAATGGAAACCATATTAAAAAGTTTTTCTTTTTACCTCAACCAGGGAAGCTTTCCATCAAAATCGTGTTTGAATCATTCAATTTGACAGAGTATTATGGAAGATTTGCCGCTTTATTGAACGTATACACTGCTTTCAGCTTTTTAAAACCCCCTTTTTTAAGAAATAACTAAATTTGAACCACGTGACTATTTTTCGCATGTACGTAAGCTTCTCCTCTTCAAATTAAGATATCGTTCAGTAAATTTGATTAAATCTTAAATGAGATATCGTTTGGTAACAGAAAAATACCGTTTAGAAATAAGATATACTTAGATTGAAAAATAAAAATCAAAGAATTACGATTATTTTTTATTGAAAAAATAAAAATCATAAAATAACGATTAAAAATGACCGTGGTTTTCATGATAACAATAAATTTCGGTCCCTGAGTATTTACGTTACGAGACAAAAATTGCTTTGGAAGTATTAGTCTGAAAATAGACTAAATGGCAGTTTAGTTAAGTAATTTATTATTAGAGAGTGAAAAATGTATGCGGGAGGTGGGAGCGATAGAGGTATTTCCCACTACTCAAACAGTTTAAGAGTGAAATAATTTCTAACACCGAATCTTATTAAAATACCACCTTTTAATACTTGGGCACAATTTTGAAATGCGTGTGGGTGTAAGAAAGAATTAATTTTTAAGATATTTCAGATTAATACTGTCAAATTGAAACTGAAGCACGCTTACTACATATCTAGGGCTGCCAGATATCTCTGTTGCCAAACCGGGACACTTTAGGGAGGGCCTCTCGCTCCCTTCCCTTTCATTTCGACGTGCGAAAGGATGCAGTGAAATTTTATTTTGATAGACAAAAACAAAAACATAAAAACATGAGATCATGAGATCATTACAACGTACGCCAACAAAACAAAACAACTGATCAAACTAAAGCACAGAGAATTTTTGACAATGCATGAACCTTTTTTATTCTTTATAAAAAAATAGAGTTTATACTAAATATATAAAAAAACATAAAAATAAAATTGTTAAACTTTGTGCTAATCTCGGGAAAATTCAATAAATTTGCATACAAATTTGCAACATTCTAATCAGACTTTTTATCAAAATTTTTAAAATGAAGTTTTGCAGCCCATTAAATTTTAGTTGATTTTTGCTATTGGTATTTACTGAGAGTTTCTTCCATACAAACTATGTTCGATAATTCTTTGTATATGAAGACACTGTCAGCAAAAAAAATAAATGCTAAAAATCAACGAAATTTGCTGGAAACTTCAGACTTGCACTTTATTAATTGGCTCAAAAGCTACATTGTCAAAAATTTTCTAAAAGATCTGATTAGAAATTGTGGTCTGATGAAAAAGCCTCCGAGCCAATAATTACGACACTGTACTTATAAGTACTCTAGGTTTCATGAAAGAAAAAAATTTAAGTACAAGATAACATTAAAATAT